GAGAAGGGTGGGAGGGAGGGCAAGAGAAGGACAAATTCAGGTATAATAAACTTTACTTAAAATTTGTAACCCCAAATAACACCTTGAATTAATTAAATTACAATACATTTTAAGGTAAATAAAACTTAAAAAGTAAAATTCAAGAGACCTAAAAAAAGAGGCTTAAGAGTTACCTAGCATATAGATTACTGCTGCCTGGTTGAAATGAGATACATATGCAATTAATAATTTTATAATGGTCTCCTTCATCAAAGAAAAAAGATGAAATTAATTTTAATAATATATTTGAGTTATATAAAAATATTGTTTATTTTATCAAAACCAAAGTGAGATGTCAAGGACCTAAAATCACCTAGTAGCTATGAGAATGGATGGAACTGGGTAAATCTGAGTGACATTTAGATGCAAAGTAGGCAGGAGTGATGATTAATTGGATGTAAAATCAGAGGAGTGAGAGTGATTTTAAACCCAAATAGGTGCATATTTGAGATATCATTAAGTGATGCATTCATGAAAATAGGGAACATAGATAGAGAACAGGCCTGAGGCAAGTGTGAGACTTTGAATCTGGACTCATGAATTGAAGGTTTGATCCATAACTGTAGGCCCTATTGGAGGTGGTAGAAACTTTAAGAAGTGGGGTCAGTTAGAGTTAGTAGGTCACTGGAAACATGTGCATGAGGGTATATTAGGACACCCCACCCACCCACTCTGCTCCTTTCTCTCTCTACTCCACAGCTGCCATAGAGTGAGAAGTTTATTCTGCCATATGCTCCCCACTATAATGTCCTACCTCCCACAGGCCCAAAGTGACAGGGCCAAGCAACCATGGCCTGAAACCTCTGAAATGGTGAGTTTAAAATAATAGTTTCCTCCCTCTGTTGCAGACATTTTGTCACAGTGATAGAAATCTGACCAATACAGCAAGGAATAAAAGCTTGCTTTTAAAAAATGAGTTTGAAATTCCATGAAATCTGCAACTGATAATATGTTCAAGGGACAGTGAATTTATGAGCCTCATGCTCATGAGAGATTCTACATCAGAGGGGTAGATGGGAGTCATCAATTCATATGTAGCTTACCCCACGGGAAAATTTGAGATTGATGAGAAAAAATGAAGAGAGTAAGACAAGTGCTGAGGCAGAGACCAGAAGAAAATTACTACTTAAGGTATAAGGATCCTAACCAAAGACCAAGAGGGAACAGAGAGGCACAAGGAAACCAGAAGAATATAATTGTCAACAACCAAAGAAAGAACTTCAAGAAGAGGTCAACTAAGTCTGATGCTTCCAGAAAATCAAGCAAAAAAAAAAAAATACAGTGATGTTTTCATAAAATTTGACAGTAAGGAGGTCATGACTGGCTTTGAAAAGAACAATCTCTGCAGAGGGTAAGGACAGAAATCGTATTGCAGCAGACTTAAAATTGACAGGATGGGCTAGGTTGTACTTCAGTAATAGAATGTCTGCCGAGATAGAAATTTTCAATTCCCAGCACCAAAATGTAAAAAAAAAAAAAAAAAAAAAAAAAAAAAAAAAAAAAACAAAGAAAAGATGGGTTAATGTAGATAAACCCTTAAGAAGTTGTTTTTTGTTTTGTTTTTGTTTTTGTTTTGCTTTGTTGTGTTTTTTTTTCCCTGAGGGAAGATAGCTAAGGTGGTATCTAGCATGAAAAGGATAATATCTACTGGTATGAGGAAAGGTTTTTATGATGTCAGAAGCTATTGAAAAGGAGATATAGAAATTCTTCAATAAACAATTTCATTGATCTGAAAAGATGTTAATCGTGTATTAACTAAAAGGAGACATGATTGAAAAAAAAAGAGACATGATTGAAAAAAGTGTTTTATGTAGAAGTATGTACATGTGAACACATAGATAACATTCAGGAAGAACATACACTAATATATTAACCACATTTATCTCTGAGTAGGTAGACTAACAGAAATTCTTTTTGTTTCTTATTATTTTTATTACTCTGTATTTTTTATTGCAAGAGGCTGTGTTTTATGATACAAAAATGAAAAAAAAACTAGAAATTTCATTTTCAGGGAGTCCATCACTTCCACATACTATGGTCTTGAACATGTGTTGAAAATGACTTCATTCCAGTTTGATGAAACATTTGTAAAATTCCTAATCATGATTTTTTCATGAGTCTACAAATGGGAAGAATCCAGGCATCCAGATACCCAGGCTGGAGTAGGAGGCAGCTACTGACTCAGGCAGCCATCCAATGGGCCAAAATGATTCATCTAGGCTTCTAACTTTCCCAATGTATGGGTCATCTCTCCCCACATCTCTTCAGAAACAAAAGTAGATGAGCAAACTGTCCCCAGAATTGAAACTTGTTTGACAAGACTTCAAAGTACTCAAAGCCAGGGAAACTACTCTCCTATGCATGACTTATGCACAGAGAGGACCCCTCCTATCCTCCCAGTCAGTAGTGGCAATGGATAGGCAAAAGTCACTATATCATAGCCTTCACTCATCTTTCATTATATGTATGAAAAAGCATAATACTGTGTTAAGAAGGTCACATGGACATATCAGTCCAGAAAGGATGCAGGTATAGGCTATATAGAAATCAAAATTATTCCAATCAAGGTAGTTGCTATTTTAGTTTTATTGCACTATTTTCCCCTTAAGACTTTCCCTTTTCTCTCTTCCTTCTATTGTCTATATAAAGATATCTTACAGTAGCAGTCAATTACAATACTAGTTTAAGTAGTATATGTGGGAGATTTTCTTCTTCACAAAATGGAAAACCTAGTTGCACATGGGCATTTGAAGATCCAAGATAGAGACAAAGAATAAACAGGCTAAGTATTAGAGTTCCAGTCCATTTTTTTGTGAGGGGTGGGGAGAATGGTGATAGAATATTGGTGAAGGCGATCCCCCACTCACTGTCTTGACAGGGTGACAGTGAGGATGAATGCTGGCAAAGCCACGCTGGTTGGTGGGTAACCGAAACCATGAGACCCTTTTTTATGTAATTGGGACTTTGCATTTTCATGCTTATGTTTCTCACAGGAGGCATGAGTATGTTAAATGCCAAACAAATTAAATTTCAGATGGCTAGAACAGAACAGGCGGTTCATGCCTTGGAGGCC